CCCATAGATATTTCTACACATTTTTGCCTTCATGCAACATTTATTCAGTATATTCAATTTATCTTTATCTTTAATAACTATTACTACTTGTTCATTCTCCATCTCATCAATTATCCTCATATTTCCATATCGATGCCACACATTTTCCTCTGTTGATACATATGCTGCTTCTTTTTTGCTTATTGATTCCGCATAACACGCGTTTCCTCTTGTCACTTCTTTTATTGGAATTTAACACATTAGCGATGATCATTGACTTTGACCACTCATATTAATATTTATTTAGATTAGGAATACAACGTACCTTTCAATCTCACTGTATTCTCCATATCTTTTTGTTATAAGAGGCCGTTACCTAAATTAATTCTATTCCTTTTTGTCTGCCTAAACCAGCGTCATTTTCTGAATCTTTATTTGACCATCAAAGATTTCTATCTTGTATGTCATATGGCTACCGCACCAGGAATCCAATAGACGTATCATACTTTACATATTTGTATCGCTGCTTTAATTTTTTCTCACTATAAAATATAATTCTTGGCATGTACGCTGATGATATTCCATGAGTCCAATAATCAAGCTCTGCTGTCACTAATGAAAGTTGGGAAAACAGTGGCTCGTAACTTACGCTATTTAATTACAACTAAAGGTTATGAAAATACAAATACTTACATGTTTTACGTAATGTTGGCACATCTGCATGGACACAACAATGCTTCCGGCGTCAGTTTGCAATTTTATCTCATTTCCTATGCATTCTCCTGTTCACTTGAAGAAAAATTAACAAATCACTCAATTTCTGTGATTAACTCATGAAATTTTATAATTGCGTTGTGAAGGCGTACCTTTGCATATTTGTCGTCTTCCAGATAAAGAAATGAATGCTGATTGCCTAATTAAAATCGCTGTTGGGGCAGAATTTTTTAAAGAATGTAGAAAACTTTATGATTTCATTTATTAAAATATATTAAAATATATTCGGAGCACATAACCAGAGTTAGTAATCTATTCGAGTAACATCAGAGCCATCTGTGAGGTTAGACTCGAAACTCGAGTCCCGCAACGAGATCGGCAGTGGAAAATTCACTAATTACTCAATATCGGTGATTAATTTACGAACTTTTATAATTGCATCGTAAAGCCAGATCCTTCAAGAACTTTCCAATATATTTTTCGAAATAAATTTATCCCTAATTAATTAATTATTAATAATTATTCTGCGCAGTGTTTGAATTGTTGTCGAAGACGCCATTGGTTTTTCATTAATTACTATCCTCTACGCAATTAATTTATGAAGCTTTGTGCACTTTTTAGAAAGACAATGTTCTTGCGAATCTTCTCATATCACTTTTGTTCATATTTTGATTCTAGTTTCATTGAGTATTAAATATTTTCACGGAAGGTCGTGATGGTCGCCGTTACGAAATCATAGATGCCATGAAACAAAAATTAATAACTAACAATTTAGAGTTAAATTCTTTACGAAGATAATATAAGAATGTAGCCTGAAGTTCCAGCTTTGCAATGAAATTATAAAAGTCCACAAATTGTTTACGGAAATTGAGTTATTAATATTTTTTCACTGCCGGGGCCATTCTATCCTTTTCTATCCCCTCTCTGTCCTTGTCAGTCACGTGATCAGCTGTCCGTCGACCTCCTTGCCTATTCTATATTCCTATCACTTTTATGCTTTTTGAGCCCAAATCATAGATGGCGTTGATTGAAGGCGCTTGAATTTGAATTGTTCATTATCCTAATAAATTAATTCGACAGTGGAAAATTAACAAGTCTTGAATTTCACTAATTAATTCATGAATTTTTATAGTTGCATCGCAAAGTTGAAACTATAGGCAGCATTCTTCTGTCATTTTCAGGAATAATTTGATATTAATTAATTTGTTATTAATAATTAATTGAAGGCGTGCGTGATTTCGTACCAACGATCATGATCATTTGAGAAAATATTAAATAATGGACTAAACTAGAAGTACAACGTGAGCAAAAATGTATGAGAAGATGCCCAAGGATATCCTTTTTATAACGTGTGCATGGAATTTATAAATTGATTGTATAAAGTATGATAATTATTTTCAAACGATCAATGCCTTCAGTATCAGTGCAATCATTATTATAAAATAATTAATTAAAAAAGGAAGTAATTTATCCAGAATTGCCAAAGACGTCAAATGCACGAAAGAAATAAATATGTATAATTATCTTCCTGTCTGAATGAAATCAATACTAACTTTTGCCAGAAGCAACTATCAATTTGGAATATTTTAGCATGAGACCACTTTAGTAATTCTAGTATTGAAATGAGCAAAACTCTTAGTACAAAGATTATGCTGTATCATTTATTCAATTATATTGTCAATACAAATCTTAATCTGTAATATTCATTGCGTACTTCTTGCGGAGTTTACTTTCCTTGAAACGAATTTGCAAACAAAATTGCTCTATTACTCTCAGATGTCGAAGAATATTAGTTTCTTAAAAAACGTGTAATTCATATGTGAGATCTCTCTCCTACTCACTTTTTATATGCAGTTATATTCATTGCTGTTGAAGAACTTTTATTCTGTAAATAAGTTGCAAAATACGCAGCTTTCATGCACAATTTCTTTCCCATTTCAGTTGTACAGGCGTGCTCGTATCTTGTCTAATAATGTTCGATTAAGTCTTTCCATTCAGTTGAGGTGTATACAGTGTCCTATAATCTAGTATAATTACTTTCTGTCTGCATCAATTTTTGTATTCTAGACTGATAAACACACTTCCTTCTATTATAGCATCTAAGTCTATGCGTTATTCCACTTTGCTCTTGCTGCTGCAACATAATTAAACAATCTCTGTAATGCTTCAGTATATGATTGCATAAAATATATCATCACGAAATTAGTAAAATCTAAGGCTGTCATTGCATATTTATTTCCGTTCCACATCTCTAGCTCTCTAGGCCCACATATAGCAGAATGTATAATTTCAAGCTGATTTTTGCCCGTGTTCTCATCTCTCCAAATGGTGTCCTCAATTGTTTTGTATAGAGAAAGTATCCTGTATTCTCTACTTCCTACCTTTAGTACTCTTTTTGTTAATTTCATTGTCAATGCTTTCTTGAATAACTGCTAGTCTACCAGCTCCTCGTTTCTCTCTACAAGTATAAAGTCAGTTATTACAGCTCTTACCAACAAATATTTTTTCTTCATTCTTAGAAACTATTACTTTATTTTCTTTGAACATTACCTCACTATCATCTCGAGCTATCAAATTTATTGACAATAAATTCTGTCTCAAGTGTAGAATATACAAACCATATTCAGGCATACAACAATCTGACGTGTTCTAAATTTCACTTTAGTTTCCATGGAAATATTTCTCTATGCTGATCCAATTTCCATTCTTATTCCTTCCTATTTTTCAAAATATTCTAGTTTATTAACCATATGGTTCATTGGTCTCAAGTCCAAAATCCATTAGTCTGTTCCATCGCTCTTTACCAAGAAGCAGATTTTCTTTTATCTTGATGTCTTTTTCTTTCCATCATGCTTTTAAAATAACAATTTAAATGATTTTTCCAAATAATTAGACTTCTTACATGTAACACAGAGAGAGTACACTTCTTAAGTTTCGTGTTTTCTTCCTAATCCTAGAAATTTATTTGATTTTTATCCTAATCTTTCAAAACTGAAATATTTAATTTCTTTGTTACCCTATTTGTTTGTCCAATATGTACTTGCAAAATATTTAGTTGAGTTGCACTTGAAACCCCACTTCTCCTGAGGTTTGAAGGCTAGAGATCTGCGTTTCCCCTTGCTTCCTTGACAATCTGTTCAATTTTGAGATTATCTATTTCCTTTTCTTCTTTCTGTGTTAACTCCCAGCCATTTGCAAATACACAATCTAGAAACATACATAAGATTTTAGTTATAAGCATTGTTTTTTCTATCTTACTCCCTAATGCATGTAATTTGAAAACTTATCTGTTTGATACGCAATGTGGGTTACAATATCATATTCCAACTTATGTTTATACAGGAAGAATTCCTCTGTAACAGAATATCTTTGTTGTTCTGTATTCTTCTCATGGATATTGTTTAATTTTACCCATATCTCATAACTCGATGTAAGGTTGATACTAAAATTCCTCCCCTACGGTTGAAACTATCAAATTGTGTAACTACACATTAACTTCCAGATACTTGTAAAATACATGATACCTGTGTAGCAATGTAGTTAAGATTTTAGTCATAAGCATTGTTTATTCTATTTTATGTCCTAATGAATGTAATTTGAAAACTTACCTGTCAGCCACGCAGTGTGGGTTACTATATGATGTTTTGCTGTTTTGTATCCTTCTCATAGATATTGCTTAATTTTGCCCATGTCTCATAACTTGACGTACAGGTTATCAAGTAATAATACCTTCCCTACGATTGAAACTATCATATTTTGTAATTACACATTTTTAACCAATCTTGTTCGCAGTTTCCTACATTTCTTAGTTCTTTGATTATATGTCAATACAAACCTTAAGACCATAGCGTGAAGACCACTGTAAATTTTCAAATATGATATCCATCTTGATCCTTTCATCTATTGGTACTTCCAATTTCCTTCTCGAATTTTCTTTTCCGCACTCAAACACGTGGCCTACAGTGTGTTTGCAGTCCATAACCTGTTGATTTATTTTTTCACTTAAAGCATGCACAACCTAAACACATTCCACCTTACATTACTCACCGGAGGTATCCTTTTGTTTTCATCGCTGCCACAATCTCATGTCATTCTTTCCAGTTATAGATTAATTCGCCGTTTACAGTCGAAAATATCCATTACACAATTACCGTCCAATAATAACATGTATCTGGAGCATATAACCAAAGTTAGTAACCATTCAAATTCAAGCGTCTTCGATCAGCGCCGTCTATGAGTTTGGATTGGAATCTTGAACCTTTGTTGTCGTTTGAATTTTCATTCGGTATTAGAAAATTAACAAGTTACTCAATTTCTGCGATTAATTTATGAACTTTTATAATTTCATTGTAAAGGCGCAGCCTTGGCGAACTTTCTAATATAACTTTTGATATAAATTGGCCCCTAATTAATTAATTATTAATTATTATTCTACCGAGTGCTTGAATTGTTGTTTTCATTAATTAATTACAATCTTTTATGCAATTAATTTATTAATTGGATGAACATATAATGAAGAGAATATCCTTGGGCATCTTCTTATATGACTTTTGTTCACATTTTATTTTTAGATTTATTCATTAGTTAATATTTTCTCGAGAGATTATCCCGGTCAATATTACGAAATCATGAACGCCTTAAAGTAATTATTAACAGCAAGCTAATTAGCAACAAATTGTTATCCAATTTTATATAAGAAAACCAGAAACACAATGTGATTAGAAATTTATGAAAAGATGCCCAAGGATATTCTTTTTATAACGTTTGCATGGAATTTATAAATTGATTGTATAAAGAATAATAATTAATGTCAAACGATCAATGCCTTCGGTATGAGTGCAATAATTATTACAAAATAATTAATTAAAAAAGGAATTAATTTATTCTGAATTACCAATAGGGTCAAATGCATGAAAGAAATAAGTATATATAATTACCTTCCTATCAGAATGAAATCAATAGTAACTTTTGATAGGACAACTATAAATTTGCTATATTTTATGCATGAGACCACTTTAATAATTCTAGTATTGAAATGAACAAAAAGATACTTAGTACAAAGATTGTGCTGTATCATTTATTTAACTATATTGTACAAAACAAAACTTTATCTGTAATATTCTTTGGATAATTCTTGCAGAGTCTAATTTCCTTGAAACGAATCTGCAAATAAAATTTATTAGCAGTAAATTTAATTTATTAATTATTTATTATTAAGTATTAACTTATAACTTAATTATTTTATTAATTTTTAATTTTATTACAAGTAAAATTATTTTATTAATTAATTATTTTAGGGTTTTCATAATTTTTCATTAATTGTGCTTTTAAATAATTTTATCGTTTTTTTTTTCAATTAATGTTTTAAATATTTTTGTCAATAATTATATTATTAATCTAATCAGTGTTTATTACTTATTTCTCAAGTATTTAAATTTCTTCGTTTACCTTAATTTAACTATTTTTTTAAATATATGCTCGAGGCGATTTAATTACGTGATTAGTGCTTAAATAAGTTTCTGTTATAATTACTAATATATAATTCCTATTATTATTACTAACTTTTTGTCCAGAATAAATGTTAACATTTTTTCAAAAGTGTGATTGATCGGAATAACTTACTCGTTCGTTCTTGCTATTTCTCGCGTCCATTTATACCCGATATCGGCCATGCAAGAACGGCTGCGTGTCCGTGATTTCGTGAGTGTGTTAGTGCGAAAAAAATGTCAACAAATGGAGGGGAACCGCAGTTGGTACGGACATCGCCACGCTGTAGAATGAGAATAACACCACGTTGGCGGTTGAGAACAACCGAATGAAGCGAGCTACGATGCTACGTATGGTAAGTCGCATGTTTTTTGTTTTCTTTGTCTCCTATCGTTTCGTAGAACGAATGGTTCGAAACGGCACGGGTGACTGGTTGTATTATATTATTTTCATAGCGAGCATAGCGGCCACGAACGTTCTTGTATTATAATACCAATGTATAATAACTTTCGTGCAAAATATATTTCTGAGGTATATTTGTTGCCTTGTACATAGCGTATTACAATTTCAATTAAATAAATTCCATAACAGAAATTTAGGAATTTTTCGTCATTCATTTCATTCGTTTCAATTGCTATTTCGCGCTATTTTTATCGAATGCAAGTACAAGGTCTGCTACAGTAGTTTCCAAAATCAAAATAATTGTCTCAGTAGGGTCAATTTTTAATTTCAATTCCTTTATTTTTATGTAATGCATGTCTTCTTTCTTTGCTATTCAAGTTTTCATATTATTTTTTTCTCGAATCTCAACATCCTAATTTATTTATTATTACTAATCACGATTTTCAGACAGGATTTTCCAGTAAATATGAAGACAACAAGTAACTGAAATTTAAAATCGTCGCGTTCATGTCTTATGCATGTACGCATGCGCAAGTTTAGATGAGACTGCTTATAGGTACGTGGACACGGTTTAGTTCACAAGTTTAAATACAAAATTTTACGACTGACAATGCGATAGTGCACGATGTATGTTCCTCATTTATGTGCCGTAATTAGGTTTATGAAACATTAGCCGGTTTAAGAATAATTTTACTTAGAGTATAATTTCACGTAGAAATATTTAATCATTAAGATATTATTATATAGCTGTACTCTATTATATAAAATATTACTATTATCACGTATATGGTAATGCAGCTGGTTTTTCTTTTAAATATATTCTAACTAACCAAGTCTAACGAAGATTCACTTTTGATCAACTTTATCAACGCGTTTCTACCTTACCTGCAATGAATACGTTCGCCTCAAAGACGGCTGCATTACTTGCACGGAAGAGAATCGATCTAAGGGGTTGGCGCAGGCGCCACAGGGGGTAGCATACGCCGCGCCCCTGCGTGGATACGAGAAGACTGATAAATTTCACCAAAACAAACCAGTGAGCATGGACACTAGGAATAAGTAGCTGTTAGAGATCCATCGTTCTTCTATTTCCCTTTACACCATTCATCGATAGCGATTTAGCCAACATGAGTCCTGGACTCGGACACGACCCTCTTCCTTCGTATAATATCACCGCATTAGGTAAACTCCAGCATGTGCGACCGTTCTTTCTTGCATGGAATTTTTCATATAGAATTCATGTGGTGTATCGTGTATACTTTGTCAAATGTAACTTATTTTATCGTTTTCAGGTAATACGGCATTATGTCTGTGGCAGCAGCCGCAGCACATACTATTTCAATTGGCGAATTTCTGCTTCGCGTTGTCGTATTCAGCACCCTCCTCTAGGAAAGGAATATTATTTATGCATTCTGTGTTAATAATAGGTAAATAGATCTACTTTGAGTGTCCACAGGTTTAATATTTCATAGATAACATTTTGCGTTGAGTAATTATTCGACACTTTACACGTTTGCATATCGAATAACATGTTTCTATTTTTATTGGGATAAAGATAGAAATTTATAAATGGGCATGCAGTGCAAATTAAATATATCAGAACTAAGTATAACAGATTAATATATCCATCTTTCAGTGTAATAAATTAATAACAATATTTATCCATTAATACATAATATTTTTCATACTATACATTTTATTAATAGTTATACGAAGTCAGATTATATTATAATCTAAAAATTAATAAAACAGTTGAAAGTAGAAAATTACATTATTACATTTTGCTACTCTCTGATTCCAGGCTTCATGTTGCTATCTGGTTGGGCATGGCACGTGATCTGTGCCCCGGACATCTTCTCCTGGAACTTCAGTTTCCTGGTGCTGAACATTGGCCAACTGGTCTATATCGTTTATCAAATGAGACCAGTTCGATTCGACCCAGAATTAGAAGAAGCTTATCACACCCTGTTCTACCCGTTCAAAGTGAGTACTTCGAATAGTTCGCGAATCGTTTTCAAAGGCCCTGTACGCAGTTAACGTATTTTCCGCATAGAAAAGAATTGCACCTCACGCTACTCGACTTTTCAATCTCTCGCGTGTCTCAAGGCATCGCATGATCTTAACGCGAAATTGTTCTCCTCGGTATTAATTTAAACGTCACAAAAGTTTCTAAACACTGTTCCTGTAGCGAAACAACGTTCAAGATTATCGGACTTGTCACGTTTCGAAGGGACGACATGTACAGGGAAATTGTTGTTGTAATATGCAAAAGCTGTATATAGAAAGGAAAAAAATGATAAAGGAACTACGTGGCACATTTTTTTCGAATTTTGTATTAATTGAGAAACATGAGAAATTCTAAAAGTCTTCATATATAAAAGAAGAGCTGAAAGACAATTTTAATAACGATTTTTTAAAAGTAACGATACTTTTGTGATACACAAAGATTCTTGATATGAATGGAACAGATACGTGACTTAGGTTGTTTATTTAGAGCAAAAGGAATTTATTTTGTTTAGTTTATCTCCTTTTTCCCTCAAACAGGTGTCTCGGCTGCAATTTAAAAGGCTCGTGTCCCCAGAATTTGCATCCATAATGTCTTTGCACGCTGGCGAAGCGTATGCAATGCAAAACTTAACACGAACCGACAGATTGGGGCTGTTGCTTAGCGGCAAGGTTAATGTTCTTAGCGATTCGAATTTCCTGCATCCCATTCTGCCTTGCGAGTTCTTGGATTCGCCGGAATTCGAAAGTTCTCGGGCCTCTGTCGATGACAAATTTAAGGTATAAAACTTATTATGTATTTCGTGATATCTTAATTAACATAATCCCAATTTGTAGAATTCTTGACAGTTGTTTAAAATTTTATTTAAAAATTCAAGATTTATCAGGTTAAATGAACGTGGTACATTTTCTCTTAGGTATCGATTGTCGCCGCAAGCTCGTGCAGATACTTATATTGGCAAAGATCCGCATTAGAATATCTTCTCGTAAAAGAAGCATACCTCGCGACAGTTTTAACAACCTTGGTTGCCAGGGACATCGCAACAAAGTTGTACGCTATGAATAATAAGGTAACAACAGCCGCTGATTACATTATTAATTCCTTTGATGCTGAGGATGAATATACTTGACCATTGTTGAGCGTTCGCTGAAGATAGAGGGTGCTTAAAATCACTCGTTAAAGGATTCTTCGAATTTTCTTCAGATTCGAAGGACTCTATCATCTTATAAATAATTTCTCGATCGATATACAATCTTATTGACACGCATCTATAGCAATAGAAGGTTGATATTGTGGTATTTCGAACAGTGAAGGACGCTAACAAAGAAATAGTATTAAGAGTGATAGCAGGGTGAATGGGTGTATGGACTTACTTCACTTCGAACAATAGGGTCGGGTTCGACTCGGGCGTTCAGGGCGATATCTAGGATGCAGGCGAAAAAACAAACGATAGCGCGAAGGAATCATTTTGACAGGATATCTATGACTGTATCGAGTGATCGAGAAAGAAAGCCTGTGTAAGAAAAGAGAGAGTTTTGACTTTAAGTAAGGGTACAAGGGCGCGGGCGAGGCAAGATGCGTGTAGTCGAGAGGTAGTGAATAAAGGATCGTGTGTTTGAGAGTTAGAGTTGAAAGAAACTTAGTGAAATATTTCAGTTAACCCTTTGCGGATAAGGGCCTCGTATATACGTTTGGCAGAAACAACTGGTAGGGCCGAGGGACTCGGTCGAGGGACAGCACCCGCTATTGCGGCCTTGTGTTCGCAGGTCCCAAATTATGTCGTGGACTGTTTTATGTCCTTATTGTCAACGTCGCTATGAACGAAAATCGCGTTTAAGTAGAAATGAGCGCTGGTAGTTTTGAATGACTATCGCGGCAGCGGCTCGGCCCCACGGTACGGTTTACTCAAAATCACTCCGTCCGCAAAGGACACGTTAAAACGCCACATCGGTCCCTAGGGACCGGCGCTAGACTTTCCGTTCAGGCCCTGTCGGTCCTTTTGGACCGGTGATAGATTTTTCGTTTATGTTATTGCTGCGCGCGCGTCGGTCCTTGCATACTTGGAAGGGCCCGCATGATGGCTAACTGTGGCGTAAACGGAACGGCATATAAAATCAGCGTGGCGTTTAACGTGTTAAATAACTCTGTTTAGTTATTGAAAAAGAGTGATTGTTTATTAGACGCGCAGATCTCTGTCAGCATAAGATGAATCTAACAGTAATCCTACAATATTCACGATTTAATATTCAGCTAACACCTCTAATAGATTTAGAGACTTGGCACCAGGTTCTCAGCCTAACGTCTGGTTAGATTGTTACAGACAAAGGATCGCATTTGGATATAAGACTTCCAACGATCAGCGCAGGGCTGTCGATAAGCGGCGAATACAGAAGTCCAAGAGCATCCAGACAAGCGTTGATTCGCAGGAAAGAATCATCTTTGTCTTCCGATAATGGTAACCTCTCGTACTCAATTTTCGTTTCTGAAGAGCTGAGATAATTAGGAATTATGAACAATAAAATAATACTCGAATTTTTCCAGGTATTTCTAATTTAAAAGATCGTCCAGCAAACAACCTTGCCAAGAAAGGTGCTCCAAACATGGAACCTCTGCCGGAAATGCCTTCTTGCGACGACCTGGCATCCAGTGGCGTGGAGAGTTGGTTGGACTCGTCGAGCAAGTATCACAGTTGCGAGATCGTGGACGAAGAATAGCAGGAGGCCTCCTTAACGCCGGACACGTTTTACGAAAGAGACAGCGACTAGTGTCCACGTTAAGGTGTTATACAATGTGAGACGAAGACTGCAGATTTTTTAATTGAACAGCACAAAAACGACAGTTCGAGGAAACCTTACCTTTAAATTACTCCAATGTTATCCAAAAGTGTTATCTAAGGCTGATTATTGTTGCATCCTTGGACGATGCAATTGGTGCTTTCGTTTGGTGAACGCGACGTTTCTCGTTTATAATAGCTGAGAACCTGTTCATAGCGTTTTGAAAGAAATGCCGCAAGAAAAACCGTGATATTGCATATGAAATCGTTTTGATAAATGATGGCAGAACGTTGTTGATTTTGTACTAGTTTGATACTAGGTCGTGTAGTTGTACGAATAGGACGTTTTTACACGGTGTGTTAACCCTCTGTCGAGTTTCGTTGGTTTACTATTTATTGTGCTTGTTTTATTTGTATTATAAAATAGCTTACAGCGATTCACTTTTTGTTAGAATTAAAATGCAGAAGGTAAAAGTAATATATATATATATTTAAAATGATACGTAGGGTTATATAGTAAACAAAGTAACTATTTAGATATTGCAGTTTCGTTCGATAGAGGGTTAAACAAATGGGCACCACATTTTTGGAGAAAGGTGAATGATAAATTCATTTTATTTTATTTCATTTTCTAATAAGAGTATATTAATTACATTAGAGAATATTCATTGTCAAGAAAGAATGGATATTCGAAAAGCAGGTAGATATTTTATTTCAAAGACGTTAGTAGAGGAGTACAGTCAAATTTCTGACAGCCTAAGCGAATGAACACCAAATGAAGTGAGAAGTATCGGACGACAGTTATCCGACAGACCTAGCCTTCAAGGAACTTCAAGCGTTTATCTAAAGAATAAGACGCATCGAAACCTCAGGTGTAGTGTTCAAAGATGAATTCGAGACACATTTTTCCGCGATTTAGGGCGAGTTGATACGCACAGGCGATGTCGTTTGCGTTTCAGAATTTCGAGCACGTGAACGTAGCAATTTTGGGAATTAATATTAGGCTATCGCGAAAATGATTGTAGCGAACGTGTTACTAATTAACGGCCATGATAATGGCAAAATAATGGGAGCCTTTGAAGCATCGAAAGTTCCAAGGGCTACTTGCGTGGAAGTGCTTATGCAGCAAGATATCTAAAGTCGACAAACGATTACTATCGTGTATAATTATACCGCAATAATGATCGGGAGTTTCTGAATTGTTCCTTAGATAAGTGCACGAATTATTTTATAAGCAAAATTTTCTACCTTAGGAGCTTTTGTAGGTCACTATTACGAACATTTCTTTCTGTCTATATATACATATATATATACACACATATATATTGTATACGGTGGGCATTTTTTATAGGAAACACGTTTGAGACCTTTGTTCGTGAAATCCATGTGTAGCTAGAATTTTATAGCGGTTTTAATGTGTAATTGTACGTATTGCACACACACATACACACATACACGTACGCATAAACGATGGAAACTTGTTGATGAAAAAGAAAAAAACTGTTGCAATTAATATTAAGCGATTATATATACGAGGATAAATCCGAGCACAAAGGGCTTCGTATTTTATAATGCACAAATTTATATAGGGGCGCATTCTTACTTTTTTTTGTTGAATATTATATACAATCGTGTGTTTCTATCAATTTTCGAAGGTACTCTATACAAGCGTATGAGAACGATATTTTATTATTTAGTGATTTAGGAGGACGATGGAACTGTTATCGCGTATTCAGGAAATCTTTTTTCCTCGAATATATTGTTTCCCTGTAATTTTATTGTATCTCACAACGGAGAGCGTATTTTTATTAAGAATTTTGTTAAAATTTTCACGCTTTCTTCTTCCAGTCTTTATATACGAGGGATTGTTACATGTACTGCTTATTGAACTTTTTATTCGAAACATTGACTCTGTTTTAAGATGTTGGCTGCGTGTTTGTAATTTGTATGCTAGAGTAACGATTAAGAAGAGCAGGGTCCGGTGTATATATACATTGTTAACTTTGCACTGTAGCGTCACACCGATGGCAATATGGAAGATCGATCGAACGATCGGGATAGTTTATAGAATTGAAATACGTGTTTTGTACAGATTTTAATCACTGTTTTCTTGTTGTCAATGAATACAATGAACGAGAACGAAAATTTGCACGAAAATTTGTACGGTTTATTCATCGACGCCACTGACCATTCTTCCGTCAGCTGTTATATTTTGTTTCCGGCTGAAAAAGCGCAAATTGTATCGTAGATGAACAAATTGAGAAACGTTGAAATTAAATTTTGGTTCATATGGTAGATAGCAAATCGTCGATCACCTGTTTCGCTATTAAGATTTACATTTATAAACTATCGAATAATATAAGTAACAATGAGAAGTATGTTTTATTTTAAGAAAAATTGGACAATTTTTTAGAACCATTGTTAAAAAAAGAAATCATTAAAATTTTTTTAACGACACAAGATTTTACTCGTGGGCTTATTTCATTCTTATAACAACATTCTTGTTGCTTTTAAATACTCATAAATCACGTTAAATCACATTTCATTTAAAAATTGTTATCACATCACCAACCAAAGATTTTTATAAAAATCCTTTCCTCATCTCAGGCCCCGTTAGCTAATTTACAACATGCACGAATAATTCCTCCATTGAATCAGTGGAAATGGAGGTCGTACAAGGAATACAAATCTCGTATAGCCGGGGGCGATCGGCCAGATTGGCAGAAACAAATATAGGGTGGCAATTAACATTTGCTTTATTATCTTTTCGCTCTATCTTGTCTGGAAGGCAATTATCTAGCTCAACTCAAAGCCTCGAAATAGCACGGATAGTCGGAGCAGGCTTCCAGCGAAAGAAGATTGATCTAATGGCGAAATACATCGGTCGAGTCATCCGTAAGTGTAACTACCAACGAGATTCACTGGAATAGCCCAATTCCAGCATCTTCGATTTCACGAACCTCAGTGGAAAATGTGTGGTGTGTTGCACGATTTACCATTCATCAGCTTATGAAACGTGATTCGTCCAACATGCGATTTTATTTCCCTAAATATTTCTACCAGTTTCTGAACGAGAAGCATGAACAACACTGATTCCGATTACTCGTTCAAGGTTTAATTCATTATAATAAAATTAATCGTCCGTTTCCAATTATATAGTATGTAGTAGAGAAATCGATATATTCCAATGTACTTTTCATATTAAAGTACGTTTCGAGTGATAAATCTCTGCAAAATGGTAATCTTAATTAAGAGAGGAGCAGAGATATATGGCAGGAAGGCCGTGAATTAAGGACGACGATACGCGTGAAAAATTATCGCGATTGTTCACGAGATGGATCGATTAAACGATAAAACTAACAGCGAAAGCAGCTTATTTCCGTACGACTGTTTGGTAGTCAAAACTTCGCGTGACAATGTTCAATGAACTTCGGCCATCAAGTCGGGGCATTAAAGTATAAAAACCTCATTATGCACGGGATGATACCATGCGATAGCATTACGTTCGAAGTAATACTCATCTGTCAGATCGATAAAATGCAAAACCTGATATTTACATTTACACTTTGTTTATACTTTGCATAATCAGACGAAGATATTAAGTATAGTTAATAGGAAAATTTCGGGCTGCACGTATTCAAAATTACGAATTTACTGATTACCAATTAAACGGTATTTATATTCACATTTTGAACTTTTCAAACTTTGCCACGGATGTAAACGAATTTCTGCGAAACGAACATACTGATTTCGTTGTGGAAGCCAGATGCGTTGCGAATTTTCCATGAAATTTTCAACGTTTCAAGTTCCAAATGCTTGCCACTGTTTCCCGATTTGCCTCATTTCTGATTCGTTGTAAAGTGAAACGTTTCCACAAATGTATTCTTGACTATCGGACGACTGAAATTTGATCGTTCGAAAATGCCGATTTGCGACTTTGTCTATGCCATTGTTTCATCTGCAATATCTTCTCGTGACCATAACACTCGTTTCTCTTCATCAACTGGCACACCTGTGAATTCATCTTAAAACTAAATTCGATAATTTTACTTATCGTCAACTTTAAATTTCGTCAGAAATAATTAAACGAAGAAATTGTTAGGGAAAACAGGGAGATTCGTTAGATTTATACAACGAATTCGTTTCGAAATTTCCAGGAGAAATAATAAAAATATGTTGGCAGAAAATGGAAACTAACAAGAAACTGTGTAAAAAGGTCATGGAAGGGGAGCTAGAACAAAATAGGGGTTAGCACAAGGGACGGAAGTAGGATGAAGTTACACAAGCAAACATCAACGAATAGGTACGAAGTATGTAAAGCGTCTAGGAAGTAGAGGAAGTGTGTTACACTGCGATAAACGTACCTCTGAACTTTTTGTTTTCCAAAACTGAGTAAGAAACGGGGCACACGTACGCAAAGGCGAGATAGAGTTGAAAAATTGCGAAAGATCAGAATCCAAAAGGAGCATGACGCGCGATAGAGCGAAGGATGAAAGGGACGTACGTGAAATTATGTCGAATATTTTATCGATAACGAAAGCAATGGAGAGAAAAATTTTGAGGCAGCATAGAAGACAAATTTAATCTCACGAACAGTAGGGAATGAAATTTTAAAGGAACATTTTATAAGAAATAGTTATAAAAATTCGCAAATATAGTAGACGATGCAAGATAATAGGATACAGAGGATGCAAGAAATGGATTAGAAAAGGAAATGAATTCCTTTTACATTCGATCAGGATCAGGCAGCAAAGTATAGAAGAGCAACGACCTAAAATAAAAGCTGAAAAAGCGCGACACAGCACAGCACGACACAAAAAGGTGAAAAAAAGAGCGGAGAAAGTTAGAAAGGAGATGTTGAAAAATACGCGTGGCTAAAGCAGAAAGATCGAAAGGAGGGTAAGGTCTGTGGGGAACGGAGTGCAAGGCACGTAAGTAAATATGAAGGAAGAAGAAAAAAGAAGAAAGGACAAAGAGCGTAGCACGGAAGATGGCAAGGGTTAAACTACCGAAGGGAAGAGCCACTGGTTGGCGGCTACCGAGA